ACAGCAGCTGATATTTTTACCGCACTCGTCGGCGCGCTGGACAGGGTCGGAGTGGACTGGTCCCGCGCTGTCAGCCTGGCTACAGATGGTGCGCCCTCAATGATCGAGAAAAAAGCAGGCGTTGTGACAAAGTTCAGAGAGAAAGTGCAATCTGCAAATGGAGGACGTGATTTTTTGACTTTTCACTGTATTTTGCACCAGGAGGCTTTGTGTTGCAAGTCATTAAAGATGGATAACGTCATGAAGGTGGTCATCCAAACTGTTAATTTCATCCGATCCAGAAGCCTGAATCACCGTCAGTTTGACAGCCTTCTCAGAGAGAAAGACCACATCTATGGCCTGCCATACCACACTGAGGTAAGATGGTTAAGCCGAGGTGCTGTGCCGATGCGTTTCTTTGATTTACAAGAAGAAATTGAACAGTTCATGGAAGAAAAGGGCAAACCAGTGTTAGAATTTCATTCCGCAGAATGGATGCAGGACCTTGCATTTATGGTGGATGTTACAGAGCACCTGAATAACTTGAACAAACAGCTGCAAGGGCGCAACAAAGTTGTCACGCAGTATTATGACAGCATACGTTCTTTCAAGTTGAAGCTGTCATTGTGGGAGACGCAACTTGCCGGTGGTGATGCAGCTCACTTCCCCTGTCTGAAAAATGTGTGCGCGACCCAACATGTGGCAGACATGAAGCGGTTCAAAGATAAAATAACGGGACTGTTACGGGAGTTTGAGCAACGCTTTCAGATTTATGTTTATATGTTTTTATGTTGATGTGCTATTGTTTTTAATTGATTTTCTTTTATTTGTATATTTAACCTATTCTTGACTCTGTGGTTCTTGCACTTGTTTGGGGAACAGGATTTCATTATTTTTATCTACATTTCTGCCTGAGAAATGACACGCTGATATAGTTCTGTGAAACAGTTCTGTTAATCACTGAGGCATTGTGTGTTTGTGTGTTCTTTGTCCTCAGAACTTTCAAATAACTTGAGGTGTTTTATGATTAATAGTGATGTTGTGCTTTTGGACACTGTCCTCAGGCTCCAGCTTTATGTTTATATGTTTTTATGTTGATGTGCTATTGTTTTTAATTGATTTTATTTTATTTGTATATTTAACCTATTCTTGACTCTGTGGTTCTTGCACTTGTTTGGGGAACAGGATTTCATTATTTTTATCTAAATTTCTGCCTGAGAAATGACCCCCTGATATAGTTCTGTGATCTGTGAAACAGTTCTGTTAATCACTGAGGCATTGTGTGTTTGTGTGTTCTTTTTCTTTAGAATTTTCAAATAAACTTGACGTGTTTTATGATTAATAGTGATGTTGTGCTTGTACTATTTTGGACACACTGTCCTCAGGCTCCAGCTTTATGTTGTATGTTGATCGTATTAAAACAAAGAAAACAATCTGAAGTTGTTGTTTTTAAGTTATATATACACCATGATTTTTCCTGTCCGGCCCACTTGGGAATAGATTTTCCTCCATGTGGCCCCTGAGCTAAAATTAGTTTGACACCCCTGGTGTAGACATTGTTAATGTTGTATATGGCTATTGTAGCTGGAAACTGCTGATTTTTAATGAAATATCTACAAAGGCGTACAGAGGCCCATTATCAGCAACCATCACTCATGTGTTCCACTGGCACGTTGTGTTTGCTAATCCAAGTTTATCATTTTAAAAGGCTAATTGATCATTAGAAAACCCTTTTGCAATTATGTTAGCACAGCTGAAAACTGTTGTGCTGATTAAAGAAGCAATACAACTGGCCTTCTTGAGACTAGTTGAGTATCTGGCGCATCAGCAATTGTGGGTTCGATTACAGGCTCAAAATGGCCAGAAACAAATAACTTTCTTCTGAAACTCATCAGTCTATTCTTGTTCTGAGAAATGAAGGCTATTCCATGCGAGAAATTGCCAAGAAACTGAAGATCACCAGTCTCAACTTCAACAGTGAAGAGGCGACTCCGGGATGCTGATCTTCTAAGCAGAGTTGCAAAGAAAAAGCCATATCGCAGACTGGCCAATAAAAAGAAAAGATTAAGATGGGCAAAAGAACACAGACACTGGACAGAGGAAGATTGGGAAAAAGTGTTATGGACAGACTAATCGAAGTTTGAGGTGTTCGGATCACAAAGAAGAACATTTGTGAGACGCAGGCCAAATGAAAAGATGCTGGAAGAGTGCTTGATGCCATCTGTCAAGCATGGTGGAGGCAATGTGATGGTCTGGGGGTGCTTTGGTGGTGGTAAAGTGGGAGATTTGTACAGGGTAAAAGGGATCTTGAAGAAGGAAGGCTATCACTCCATTTTGCAACGCCATGCCATACCCTGTGGACGGCGCTTGATTGGAGCCAATTTCCTCCTACAACAGGACAATGACCCAAAGCACAGCTCCAAACTATGCAGGAACTATTTAGGGAAGAAACAGTCAGCTGGTATTCTGTCTATAATGGAGTGGCCAGCACAGTCACCGGATCTCAACCCTATTGAGCTGTTGTGGGAGCAACTTGACCGTAAGAAGTGCCCATCAAGCCAATCCAACTTCTGGGATGAAATCTCTTCAGATTACCTCAACAAATTGACAACTAGAATGCCAAAGGTCTGAAAGGCTGTAATTGCTGCAAATGGAGGATTCTTTGACGAAAGCAAAGTTTGAAGGACACAATTATTATTTCAATTAAAAATCATTATTTCTAACCTTGTCAATGACTACATTTCCTATTAATTTTGCTATATTTCCTATTCAAACTCATTTCATGTATGTTTTCATGGAAAACAAGGAATTTCTACGTGACCCCAAATTTTTGAACGGTAGTATATTTTATACTCCGGACTCTGACATTGCTCATCCTAATATTTATATATTTCTTAATTCCATTCTTTACTTTTAGATCTGTGTGTATTGTTGTGAATTGTTAGATATTACTGCACTGCTGAAGCTAGGAACACAAGCATTTCTCCACACCCGCAATAACATCTGCTAAATATGTGTATGCGACTAATAAAATTTGATTTGATATCTATCTCATTATCTAAGTCCAGTCATTTGAATGTCTCTCAAATGTCCCGCTGCAACTACCTCTCTCCCATCAAATGAACATCCTGCTGAGATAACATCTGATAACAAGCTTCCTGTTAATTAGAGCTACCTACCGGAATCGCTCCTGTCCAGCTGTGTCCCAGATCTGCAGCTTGACCGTCTTGCCAGCGACCATTACCACCCGGGAGCCAAACTCCACCCCAATGGTGTGGCTGGAGTCCTGCTTGACTACATGGGACAGAACATACAACACAAAACATACACCATGGTGGTTATTACACTCTCTGTTATGTGGTGGTAGAGAAGCTTTGCTGGCATCTTTAATGTTGTCTGATACAGCCTAATGTAAATGTAGCGTAAACTTATCCAAAATCTTGGTAGTGATACTAGTGAATATACCAATCAGTACCCTACTATAACATTACCATAATATAACATTACAGTGCCATCTCCATGAGGGCAGTGATCTTTAAGGCGTGCATATGCTTTTTCTGGAAGTTAATAACAATTTCACTTACACTTGTTTTCTATAAATTGATGGAGAAGACAGGATTTCCCTGATCCCGCACTTCCAATCACCAAGAATTTAAAAAGGAAATCTGGAAAAGAATGAAGGAGAATAAATAATGATAACACATTTACTACGTCACACGACTACAAACAGACTGACCACATGGAAGCAGCCAAGAGCAGAGACGTTGAAAGCCGCGATGTCCTTTTCTCAGAAATCAAACAGAAGCAGTGGTTAAGGTTCCTGACAACGAGTGATACAGACCTAGAGCACTAGCTAGCTATCTTATAGACTGACAAGTTGTAAGCAATGTTTGCTAAGTTGCTAGCTATATGCGGCAGTCTAGCCTACAAGCTTCATCTTGTTTCTTGTCCCACTCCCAGACGAAAGAACAACCGTAGCATATAGTGACGCCAGATATTGCTTTGCTTACCATATGTTTCTGTCATTTCCTTTGATGGATTCAAGCTCTTCAAGTGCTGAAATGTCAATAATTAACTATTGGCTTTCATATATGAAAACTGTATTTGGCCAAATTGCCACAAATCCCGTTTAATGAGAAGGATTCATCCACATGTATTGTTTTTACCATACAAGACAGACGCATAGATACGGTAGACAGGACGTGATGACGACATTTGCAACGCTCTAGTTACGTAAGATTATTTGTTAAAGAAGGGTGTTTCATGCACGCGTCATGGACTGTAGGCTCTGTTGCTTGTAGCATGTTGGATCAACCTGTCAGTTGCAATACTTTTGATGATAACATTAATTCAGTTATTATGTGTGTTGGGGATCATTCAGTAATGTTTCTGATAATTATTTAAGCATATATAATTGTAGAATTATTTAATTTGATGAATAATTCGTGCAATGGGCCTAAGTATGTAATACGTGTGTTTGTGTGTGTGTTTGTTGTCTTCCTTTGAAAGTGACATACTGAGATGTGAAAAAATATTCATTGATAGGTGCAGTTTAGAAATGTTCAAACATTTATCAACAATTTAAGAAAACATCAAGAAAAAGGTAACAGTGCAGTTTAATGACACTTTTAAGTAAGCACCAATCATTGAATATGCACTCATTCACCCATTCTTACACTTTGAGTGTACTTCCAAAGTCAATTATAAGGCATGTGGTCAGATGGCCAGTGTTCACCCTGTGTGGTCTTAAGATGGCAAGTGTTCTGTGGTATAACCCCCCCCCCCCCCCCCCCCCTCAAAGGTGAACTAGTTGTCTTTTAGATTTGACTCAAAATTACCTCCCATATAAACATTGCATTTGTCTGTAAACATCTTTAGTGTACCAACACCAAACACTGGATTTGAAATCTTCTTCCCATTCACAGACACCACAATGGGAAAATGGAAATACAAAACACCAGTAGCCTTCCAAAGAACACTCACACCCCCATGAGGTCCTTCTACCCCCTCCCCTCACACCCCCATGAGGTCCTTGTACCCCCTCCACCCTTGTCAGAGTTTTCCAGCCCCTAATCCCAGGTGGTTTGATAAGACATATGAATGACCCCCCTCTTTTCCTATAGATCCCCCTTTCTCTTTCTTATCACTTTGACTTTTGTTTGTGCTTTGGGGCCAGCACTGGGGCCAGGGTGGTGGTTGGAGCAGGTTTAGCCGCAGTAGAGGGTCTCAGCTTACTGTACAACCTCTTAAACCTGCAAAGACAAAAGTGAGAGTGTCAAAAGGGGGAAATCAGTTATTTTATATTGTGTAAACAATGATGAAATATTTATAATGTGGTTACCATAGTTGTTGGTTTATTGTGCCCTGAATTTTTTTAAAGAGCAGAATATTAAATGTCCCTGTATGGTTCAATTAGGAAATTATCCATATGAAAAATTAGAACAGTCAGTCATATCAGTCATTTCAACAGGCTTGTGCAGCACTTACAAGCTTTTGATTTTCCTCAGGAGGCCGTTGACTGCTTTGCCAATCCTCTTCATTCGCCCCTGTCACCCAAACACAAGTGCATATTAGACACAGTCCTTTGGTTGCTGCTGTAATGTGGATTACATTATAATTATCTACAAGTAGAGTATGTGAACAGCAGGAGCTCTCTGCCTCACCTGCATTTGTTTGTAGAATAGTGGAAGAGAGAAAACACAGATGACACCTGCGAAAGAGACGGAGAAGGAAATCCGATCAACAAACTATGTTCACATACATTATTATTTACATATAGCTTTATGACAGATCAGAGGTGATGGGGGAAAGTGAAGTATGAATGAAACAGAGAGAGCAATGTAACATGTTATGGAATTAGAGCATAATCGTGTATGAGGGTAGTGCTGTAGGACAGTGTGGTGTAAGACACTAAGATAGACAGGTATTGCATGGATCAGCATGGTCTCACCAACTATCACCAGGGTCAGTCCGTTGGTCGTGATGCCCACATAGGCCAAGACGTACAGCAGCACCACAAACTGACAACAGAAGAACATTTGTTTAGATTGTCATCGTTTGGAATCAGTAGAGATAGCATGTGAGTTTATGAAGCAATTAATATGTTTTGTTGATGTATTGTATATATTGCATCTGTCGAATTGCTGATGTAAACCGTCAGGAGGACCAGTTATGTTGTCTGACTCAAGTGCTGGTGATAATGTGACTTCAACCTTTAGCTTCTTCCCCAATCCCCACACATATTTACAGTACATAATTACAGTAATACACTGAGTTTTCTTTGCGTTTTCAGAGGGACATTGACAGTGACCCCTGACCTTGATGGAGTCCATGATGCTGCCGATGAAGAGCAGGTGTTTGATCTCTGTGACGGCGAAGGCAATCATCAGCACCACTTCCTCCACCACCAACACCGTCTCCTCATCTGTCAGAGAGCTGTCATCTACTATATAAGACCTGATACCACACACACACACACACACACAAATCCCTAGTTTCAAGAATAATTTTCTACCAACAGATGCACAGAGCCATACACAGATGGCTGTTTGTTGGTGTGTGTGTGTGTGTGCGTGCGTGCGAATACACAGATGGCTGTTAGAGTGATATGATATGTCTCTCTATATATAAACTTCAGCATGGTAACTGCTGTAAACTGTACTCACTGGAAGGGGTGCACTCCTTCAGGGTTCTTACGAATCAGCTCTAGGAGTTTGTAGTAGAGGCGTAGGGGGAAGGTGAGACACATGATGGCCATACACAGGTAGGACAGCACGGTGACGGCACTGAGCTGGAACAGGCTGGCCAGGCCTATCACCAGCCCTGTGAACACCAGCCCTGTCTTCCCCACGTCCCGCCAGTAGATCAGATCCACTACTGCAGAGAGACAGAGAGAGGATGGAGTGGGTATAGATCATTCATCCATTCATTTATTCATTCATTCATTCATTCATTCATTCATTCATCCATTAATTAATTAATTAATTAGTAAATGGTGGAGGACAACAAGTGAATGGAAGGGAGAGATAGATGAGTCGTACAGATGAATAAGTGTGGATGTCGGGGCTGGTACTCAGACTGATCTGGATGAGCGATTTACAGATGTAGGAGCTTAATTTGAGCCAGTTTGCAACAGCATGAAAATAATCTTGCAGCAACAGGAAATGTGAATTATTATGTGGATTATAATTAATTTAAAAAATGTGTAGAGGTTGAGACATTTTTTGTTAGGGCAAATCAAGTCTGACATTTTAAAGTGGAAATTACAAACTTTAGAAGCCTTTTTAAACCTTGAATACACTACACGTTTGCATTTCCTGCTGTGTAGGAATATTCTCAGCAACAAAAGAGTGCTCAAATCAAGATCATACATTTGTAGGGAGAGCAGTTGAGCTCATCTGATGTCTGGAAGGAAAAGAGCCAGAGAAGTTCAAACCACGCTTAATATGGAGTTGTGTACAAAGATAGATGGAAAGAGAAGTAGTCTATCTTAGATATTTAATGTGTTTGTTTTTAGCTGGGCTGTTGTAATTTGTTAGATATCTATTCCATATTGGTGGTGATCTACAAATGTAGGATCTTAATTTGACCACCCTATTGCAGGATAACTTTTCTGCAATGCAGGAAATTTAAAACTTGTAGTATATTTGAGGTTTAAAAAGGCTTCTGAAGTTTGTAACTTCCACTTTGAAATTTCAGACTTGATTTTCCCTCACAGAAAATGTATCAACCCCTGCAAAAATGTCCATAATTCACATTTCCTATTAGTGCAGGATTATTTTCCTGCTGTAGCAAACTGGTTCAAATTCTACATTTGTAATATTGGAACTGTGGTAAATGCTGTGGTCAAACAGGTGATAAATGCAACATGTCTTTGATAATTAAGTAACAAGTTACATCATTTAGCAGTGAAACCATTGCCTCAGCCCTGACTGTTGGCAATAAAAGTTCGAAATATGTCAATTACTTTAGCTGAACACTGACAGTGTGGATTAAAAGAGGACAACAAGGGAGTTACAAGAGAGATATCTTAATTCATTGAGTGCCTTCTTGTATTATATTCTGTATTATAAACCGGATATACAGTGGGGGAAAAAAGTATTTAGTCAGCCACCAATTGTGCAAGTTCTCCCACTTAAAAAGATGAGAGAGGCCTGTAATTTTCATCATAGGTACACGTCAACTATGACAGACAAAATGAGGAAAAAAAATCCAGAAAATCACATTGTAGGATTTTTAATGAATTTATTTGCAAATTATGGTGGAAAATAAGTATTTGGTCAATAACAAAAGTTTCTCAATACTTTGTTATATACCCTTTGTTGGCAATGACACAGGTCAAACGTTTTCTGTAAGTCTTCACAAGGTTTTCACACACTGTTGCTGGTATTTTGGCCCATTCCTCCATGCAGATCTCCTCTAGAGCAGTGATGTTTTGGGGCTGTCGCTGGGCAACACAGACTTTCAACTCCCTCTAAAGATTTTCTATGGGGTTGAGATCTGGAGACTGGCTAGGCCACTCCAGGACCTTGAAATGCTTCTTACGAAGCCACTCCTTTGTTGCCCGGGCGGTGTGTTTGGGATCATTGTCATGCTGAAAGACCCAGCCACGTTTCATCTTCAATGCCCTTGCTGATGGAAGGAGGTTTTCACTCAAAATCTCACGATACATGGCCCCATTCATTCTTTCCTTTACACGGATCAGTCGTCCTGGTCCCTTTGCAGAAAAACAGCCCCAAAGCATGATGTTTCCACCCCCATGCTTCACAGTAGGTATGGTGTTCTTTGGATGCAACTCAGCGTTCTTTGTCCTCCAAACACGACGAGTTGAGTTCTTACCAAAAAGTTCTATTTTGGTTTCATCTGACCATATGATATTCTCCCAATCCTCTTCTGGATCATCCAAATGCACTCTAGCAAACTTCAGACGGGCCTGGACATGTACTGGCTTAAGCAGGGGGACACGTCTGGCACAGCAGTATTTGAGTCCCTGGCGGCGTAGTGTGTTACTGATGGTAGGCTTTGTTACTTTGGTCCCAACTCTCTGCAGGTCATTCACTAGGTCCCCCCGTGTGGTTCTGGGATTTTTGCTCACCGTTCTTGTGATCATTTTGACCCCACGGGGTGAGATCTTGCGTGGAGCCCCAGATCGAGGGAGATTATCAGTGGTCTTGTATGTCTTCCATTTCTAAATGCTCCCACAGTTGATTTTCAAACCAAGCTGCTATATTGCAGATTCATCTTCCCAGCTGTGCAGGTCTACTTTTGTTTTCTGGTGTCTTGACAGCTGGTCTTGGCCATAGGGGTTTGGATTGACTGTTTGAGGTTGGGACAGGTTCTTTTTACTGTGTTCAAACAGGTGCATTAATATACGATGGAGGACGAGAGGAGCCTCTTAAAGAAAAGTTACAGGTCTGTGAAGCCATAAATCTTGCTGTTGAGTGGCCAAATACTATTTTCCCCATCATGTGCAAATAAATTCATAAAAAATCGTACAATGTATTTTCTGATTTTTCTCCTCATGTCTGTCATAGTTGACTTGTACCTATGAGAAAATTACAGGCCTTCTCATCTTTTAAGTGGAGAACTTGCACAATTGGTGCCTATACTTTTTTTCCCCACTTATTTGCTCCTGGATGCTGATTGGCTGAAAGATGTGGAATATCAGACATTATAAACTGGGTGGTTCGAGCCCTGAATGCTGATTGGCTGAACGCCGTGGTATATTGGCCATATACCACATCTCCTCCGGCCTTATTGCTTAAATATACCACGGGTATGACGCAAAACGCTTGTTTACTGTTCTAATTATGTTGGTAACCTGTTTATATGATAAAATAAAAACTCAATGAGATCAAATAGAATAGTAATTTAGCAAGAATATAATTAAGCAATAAGGCACCTCAGGGGTTTGTGGTATACAGTATGGCCAATATAGCATGGCTAAGGGCTGTATCCAAGCATTCCGCGTTGCGTCGTGCATAAGAACAGCCCTTAGCCGTAGTATATAGGCCATATACAGTGAGGGAAAAAAGTATTTGATCCCCTGCTGATTTTGTACGTTTGCCCACTGACAAAGAAATGTTCAGTCTATAATTTTAATGGTAGGTTTATTTGAACAGTGAGAGACAGAATAACAACAACAAAATCCAGAAAAACACATGTCAAAAATGTTATAAATTGATTTGCATTTTAATGAGGGAAATAAGTATTTGACCCCTCTGCAAAACATGACTTAGTACTTGGTGGCAAAACCCTTGCTGGCAATCACAGAGGTCAGACGTTTCTTGTCCACCAGGTTTGCACACATCTCAGGAGGGATTTTGTCCCACTCCTCTTTGCAGATCTTCTCCAAGTCATTAAGGTTTCGAGGCTGACGTTTGGCAACTCAAACCTTAAGCTCCCTCCACAGATTTTCTATGGGATTAAGGTCTGGAGACTGGCTAGGCCACTCCAGGACCTTAATGTACTTCTTCTTGAGCAACTCCTTTGTTGCCTTGGCCGTGTGTTTTGGGTCATTGTCATGCTGGAATACCCATCCACGACCCATTTCCAATGCTCTGGCTGAGGGAAGGAGGTTCTCACCCAAGATTTGACGATACATGGCCCCGTCCATCATCCCTTTGATGCGGTGAAGTTGTCCTGTCCCCTTAGCAGAAAAACACCCCCAAAGCATAATGTTTCCACCTCCATGTTTGACGGTGGGGATGGTGTTCTTGGGGTCATAGGCAGCATTCCTCCTCCTCCGAGTTGAGTTGATGCCAAAGAGCTCCATTTTGGTCTCATCTGACGACAACACTTTCACCCAGTTCTCCTCTGAATCATTCAGATGTTCATTGGCAAACTTCAGACGGGCCTGTATATGTGCTTTCTTGAGCAGGGGGACCTTGCGGGCACTGCAGGATTTCAGTCCTTCACGGCGTAGTGTGTTACCAATTGTTTTCTTGGTGACTATGGTCACAGCTGCCTTGAGATCATTGACAAGATCCTCCCGTGTAGTTCTGGGCTGATTCCTCACCGTTCTCATGATCATTGCAACTCCACGAGGTGAGATCTTGCATGGAGCCCCAGGCCGAGGGAGATTGACAGTTATTTTGTGTTTCTTCCATTTGCGAATAATCGCACCAACTGTTGTCACCTTCTCACCAAGCTGCTTGGCAATGGTCTTGTAGCCCATTCCAGCCTTGTGTAGGTCTACAATCTCGTCCCTGACATCCTTGGAGAGCTCTTTGGTCTTGGCCATGGTGGAGAGTTTGGAATCTGATTGATTGATTGTTTCTGTGGAAAGGTGTCTTTTATACAGGTAACAAGCTGAGATTAGGAGCACTCCCTTTAAGAGTGTGCTCCTAATCTCAGCTCGTTACCTGTATAAAAGACATCTGGGAGCCAGAAATCTTTCTGATTGAGAGGGGGTGAAATACTTATTTCCCTCATTAAAATGCAAATCAATTTATAACATTTTTGACATGCGTTTTTATGGATTAATTTGTTGTTATTCTGTCTCTCACTGTTCAAATAAACCTACCATTTAAAGTTATAGACTGATCATTTCTTTGTCAGTGGGCAAACGTACAAAATCAGCAGGGGATCAAAAACCTTTTTCCCCTCACTGTATCCAACCAGAACCCATGGATTACAGGCAACATCAGCACTGAGCTAAAGGCTAGAGTTTCCGCTTTCAAGAACCGGGACACTAATCTGGACGCTTATAAGAAATCCCGCTATGCCCTCCGATGAACCATCAAACAGGCAAAGCGTCAATACAGGACTAAGATCAAATCTTACTACACCGGTTGACGCTCGTCGGACGTGGCAGGGCTTGCAAACTATCACGGATTACAAATGGAAACACAGCCGCGAGCAGCCTAGTGACGCTAGCCTACCAGACAAGCTAAATGCCTTCTATGCTTGCTTCAAGGTAAGCAACATTGAACCATGCATGAGATCCCCAGCTGTTCCGGACGACTGTGTGATCACGCTCTCTGTAGCCGACGTGAGTAAGACTTTTAAACAGGTTAACATTCACAAGGCTGCAGGGCCAGATATATTACCAGGACACATACTCAGAGCATGCGCTGACCAGCTGGGAAGTGTCTTCACTAACATTTTCAACCTCTCCCTGACCCAGTCTGTAATACCTACATGTTTCAAGCAGACCACCATAGTCTCTGTGCCCAAGAACGCCAAGCGTAGCACTCACAGCTGTAGCCATGAAATGCTTTGAAAGGCTGGTCATGGCTCACATCAACACCATCATCCCAGACACCCTGGAGCCACTTCAATTCGCATACCACCCCAACACATCCACACATAACGCAATCTCTATTGCACTCCACACTTCCCTTTCCCACCTGGACAAATGGAACGCCTATGTGAGAATGCTGTTCATTGACTACAGCTCAGCGTTCAACACCATAATGCCCTCCAAACTCATCACTAAGCTAAGGACCCTGGGACTAAACACCTCCCTCTGCAACTGGATCCTGGAGTTCCTGACGGGCCGCCCCCAGGTGGTGAGGGTAGGCAACAACACATCTGCCACACTGACATCCGCAATCTGACATGGGGGCTCCTCAGGGGTGCGTGCTTAGTCCCATCCTGTACTCCCTGTTCACCCACGACTCCAACACCATCATTAAGTTTGCCAACAACACAATGGTGGTAGGCCTGATCGCCGATGACGATAAGACAGCCTCTCCCTCAACGTCAGCAAGAAAAAGGAGCTGAATGTGGACGACAGGAAATGGAGGGCTGAGCATGCCCCCATTCACATTAACGGGGCTGTAGTGGAACGGGTTGAGAGCTTCAAGTTCCTCTGTGTCCACATCACCGCTGCATCACCGCTTGATATGGTAATTGCTTGACATCTGACCGCAAGGCGCTACATGCCAGCGCCAGAAAGTAGTGCATACAGCCCAGTACATGGCCTAGCTCCCTGCCATCCAGGACCTTTATACTGGAGTCAAAGACTCCAGCCACACAAGTCATAGACTGTTCTCTCTGCTACCACACGGCAAGCGGTACCGATGCACCAAGTCTAGAACCAACAGGACCCTGAACAGCTTCTACCCCTGAGTCACAAGACTGCTAAATAGTGAGTTAAATAGTTAACGAAATAGCTATCTGGGCTATCTGCATTGATCCTTTTTGCTCTCACTTTTTTGATTCATCACATACATTTACATTTTAGTCATTTAGCAGACGCTCTTATCCAGAGCGACTTACAGTTAGTGAGTTCATACATTATTTCAATTTTTTCATACTGGCCCCCCGTGGGAATGCTCTACCAACTGAGCTACACCCCTGCCGGCCATTCCCTCCCCTACCCTGGACGACGCTGGGCCAATTGTGCGCCGCTCCATGGGTCTCCCGGTCGCGGCCGGCTACGACAGAGCCTGGATTCGAACCACTGCGCCACTCGGGAGCTAACATACACTGCTGCTACTGTTTATTATCTGTCACTTTATTCCTAGTTATACAGTGCCTTCGGAAAGTATTCAGACCCCTTGACTTTTTCCACATTTTGGTACGTTACAGCCTTATTATAAAATTGATTATTTTTTTTAACTACCCTCAGCAATCTACACACAATACCCCATAACGACAAAGCGAAAACAGGTTTTTAGAAATCTTAGCAAATGTATTAAAAAAATAGAAAAATGAAATACCTTATTTACATAAGTATTCAGACCCTTTGCTATAAAACTCGAAATTGAGCTCAGGTGCATCCTGTTTCCATTGATCATGCTTGAAATGTTTCTACAACTTCATTGGAGTCCACCTGTGGTTAATTTAATTGATTGGACATGATTTGGAAAGGCACACACCTGTCATATAAGGTCCCACAGTTGACAGTGCATGTCAGAGCAAAAACCAAGCCATGAGGTCGAAGGAATTGTCCATAGGGCTCCGAGACAGGATTGTGTCGAGGCACAGATCTGGGGAAGGGTACCAAAACGTTTCTGCAGCATTGAAGGTCCCCAAGAACACAGTGGCCTCCATCATTCTTAAATGGAAGTTTGGAACCACCAAGACACTTCCTAGAGCTGGCCGCCCGGCCAAACTGAGCAATCCAAACTGAGCAATCGGGGGAGAAAGGCCTTGGTCAGGGAAGTGACCAAGAACACGATGGTCACTCTGACAGAGCTCTAGAGTTCCTCTGTGGCGATGGGAGAAACTTCCAGAAGGACAACAATCTCTGCAGCACTCCACCAATCAGGCCTTTATGGTAGAGTGGCCAGACGGAAGCCACTCCTCAGTAAAAGGCACATTGGAGTTTGCCAAAAGGCACCTAAAGACTCTCAGACCATGAGAAACAAGATTCTCTAGTCTGATGAAACCAAGATTGAACTATTTGGCCTGAATGCCAAGCGTCACATCTGGAGGAAACCTGGCACCATCCCTATGGTGAAGCATGGTGGTCACAGCATCATGCTGTGGGGATGTTTTCCAGTGGCAGGGACTGAGAGACTAGTCAGGATCGAGGGAAAGATGAACGGAGCAAAGTACAGAGAGATCCTTGATGAAAACCTGCTTCAGAGCTGGGGCGAAGGTTCATCTTCCAACAGGACAATGAACCTAAGCACACAGCCAAGACAATGCAGGAGTGGCTTCAGGACAAGTCTCTGAATGTCCTTGAGTGGCCCAGCCAGATTCCGGACTTGAACCCGATTGAACATCTCTGGAGAGGCCTGAAAATTGCTGTGCAGCGACTCTCCCCATCCAACCTGACAGAGCTTGAGAGGATTTGCAGAGAAGAATGGGAGAAACTCCCCAAATACAGGTGTGCCACGCTTCATACGCAAGAAGACTCGAGGCTGTGATCGCTGCCAAAGGTGCTTCAACAAAGTACTGATTAAAGGGTCTGAATACTTACAGTATGTAAATGTGATATTTCTATATTTTATTTAATTTTTTATAAATTAGCAAAAAAATCTAAAAACCTGTTTTTGCTTTGTCATTATGGGGTATTGTGTGTAGATCGATGAGGGGAAAAAACGATTTAATCAATTTTAGAATAAGGCTGTAATCAAACAAAATGTGGAAAAAGTCAAGGGGTCTGAATACTTTCTGAAGGCACTGTATGTACATATCTACCTCAACTACCTCGTACCCCTGCACATCGACTCGGTACAGGTACCCTGTGTATATAGCCAAGTTATCGTTACTCATTGTGCAAATCATTGCACTGTGTACTCCATGTATATAATGTGTATATGACGAATAAACAAACCTGAACTTATGACTTGTTTATAGTGTGCCTAATGCCTACAGTACCAGTGATGCACTGAGGATCCCATGTGTCTCATTTTCCAGTAACCTATATGCTTCTTGAGTAAAGAAACGTAGACAGGCGAGTTGAAGATATATGGTCTCCACTACGTATACCGCACATACACAACACATAGCTTACAGAGACATGTCCAGTATTTATGATTTTGTTCACAACACATGACCTCTTAGGGTGGTTAGGAGACACACACGCACAAACACACACACACACACATACACACACATACACACACAATGCATTAAGTAGACTGTGCAAATGCACAGCAGACCTGCAGTGAAGCTGAAGAGTCCTTTCGGCAACAGCTGAAACTTCCAATGAGCTCACTAACACTAACAAGTGTAAATCTAGAGGGGAAATTATCTGATTCAAACTAACATCCAGGAATCTTTCACAGATAGAGCCGAGTTCCCTCCTACACCCTAACCCTTAACCCTAAATACCCAGCAGCTGTGCCCATAATGATTCACCAACATGGCCAAGACAGATCAGGAGAAAGAGGCTTGCTAAGCACCATTCTGTCAGCAACTTATTTTGATTTTGTTGTCTATCTCTCTCTCCACTAACTGTAGCTCTCTATGTCTCTATCAGTGACCTGATTAGAACTAATCTTCCTGCCCCGTCATTCTCCACCTGCCCATTTGTAGAGCCCCTGAGGTGGGCATGGGCTCACAGAGGAGTCCTTCTCCCCTCTCACTGGTCCCACAGCCAGCTGGTCACATCAGCCCACACACGGAGGCCAAGTATACCTAAGGCCAAGTCACACATTTACACCGTCTTACCTTTGGTGGCCATTTTGGCAGCTGATCCCTGTGCAAACCACCCAACTAGCTTACTCTTGCTGCTAACTACTCTCCTAGACCCCCTGCACTCCTATGGCCCTCGCTAGGATCTTTTTTTGTCCCTATCAGCCCCGTCAGCAGTATAGGGTCTGGCTGGCCTAATTTTATCCTGCCAATTGGATACCCACTCTTTGAGGGCACACACGCACAGACACACATACACACACACACACTCACACACACTAACACACAAACACACATTCACGTAACTTGTGGAACCTGAGACATCAGTATGTGTTTTCGTGTAGACAGTTCCTTGGTCTCCAGAGAGACCCTTGGTTCTTTGGCCTGTCTGTTATCCAAAACAAAACCCCTCAGTCAATCAAAGGAACAGGTTTTCAAAGTAGGCCTACCACACTATTAGATCACACCAGAGGTGAGTATTTATGTATAGGCATTTAATCCTTATAGGACTTACGGGTTGATAAGGATTTAAAGAATACATAGCCCAAATAATACAAATCCCTCGTTACATTCATATAGAAAAGCACTCGCATGAAGACACAAAATAAGGTTCCCCATCATTACTGTGTTCTATTGCAAAATTACAAATGAAATCATAAATGCTATATCATTATGTGTTCTCATATAAATCTCACAAATCACAAAATGTTGTTGTGCTGTAGATTTAGGTCAGTTTAAAACTCCTCTAATTACTGCTTAGTACAGTCTAATCACTTAAAATCACTGTAACTAGTCATTCAAATCTGTTCTGTTTTTATTTGCATATGAATTATGAGTATGAATAGTGTCAGGAAGGTTGTTCTGAATAAAGACTGGCCACGGCCATAGCTAAGTGCGTCATGCACAGATTCAGCTCAAGGCAAAGTGAAACACTACAAATGCACCACTACATGACTCATAGTGGGTTTCAAAGAGAGCATCAGTGTGCATAATATAGATGAGCTGTCTCTCACTCGCTTCCTGTCTCTCTTTCTCTCTCCCTCCCCCCCTGCCTCCCTCCCTCCCTTCCTTCCTTCCTTCCTTCCTTCCTTCCTTCCTTCCTTCCTTCCTTCCTTCCTTCCTTCCTTCCTTCCTTCCTTCCTCCTTTACTCCATTACTCCCAGCCCCTCCCTCCCTCTCAGTCCCTCCCTCCCTCTCTGACAGTCCGTCCCTCTCACATGCAGTAGTTTGTGCTGCTGTTATAAAAGGCTGATGCTTCTGGGTCCTCTAATCTGCAGGCGTAGAAACCTGATAATCCAGACTCATCAAAGGTCGAGATTAGCAGAGGGCTGGATGGGGAGGGATGGAAAACCTTGGCACAGATAGGAAGACAGGGAGGGAGGCAGGGAGGGAGGGAGGAAGAAGTGACAGTGCATGCATGACAGGGATAAGCTATGCTGCCCAGGGATTGGTGCACATAAATAGCCAACCAATCACAGATGAGGCAGGGAAAATAACAAGACTAGGGGAGAGCTGGAGAAAGAGGGAAGTGCTATGAAAAAGAGAGGGAGAAGGTGAAATCACAGGACTACAGAGGAGAGGCAAAGCTAACAAACACAGAGCAGGGATGAATACAGGAGATAGTGCAGATCAGTGAGATCTCCAGAGAGAACAGGAAGAGAGGACTGAAAGGAAGGAGATGGGCAGAGAGAGGGGGGTAAACAGCCAGCAGCAGCAGCACAGAGAAAATCAATCAGCCAAACTAACAGCATCAGCCTGGGAAGCCATGCTCTGAGAGGCCTGGCGCAGCGGGGCTACGCAGGCAATATACGGCACGTCACAGGCCTAGCCAACGGCCCACTGGCCCATAGGCCCACAGCAGGGAGGAGAGGCAAAGAGGACACCCAGAACCACACTGTCAGCTGCTGTAGCCATGAGGACAACACGGAAAGGGAGTGTGGAGATGCCTGCATTTGTCCGGCAGCTGGTGAAGGAGACAGAGAAGAGGGTCAGCTCCTTCTTCAAGGGAGGGGGGCGTGGAGGGGCAGAACACGTGCAGGGGGAGGGGGAGGAGGTGATCCCCAGCCCCTACTTGGACCGTCCCATCCTGGACAAGCTGACTGAGGAGGGCTGCTCCCGCTGGGGCCTGACCTATGCCCTGGGCAGCATGCAGGGCTGGAGGGCCAACATGGAGGACTACCACAACTGTGTTCCTCAGCTGGGCGCAGGGCTGGCAGACTGGAGCTTCTTTGCTGTGTTTGATGGGCACGCGGGCAATCAAGTGGCACAGTACGCCTCACAACACCTGCTGGATCAGGTCCTAGCTACAGGTGAAACAAACTTACACAAAACGTTATCTGTATTTGACAGACTTCTCATGTTACTTAACAGCCTGTTTCATCTCGTAGTTTAAATAGATGCGTGAACAGATCTTCATATATTGAGTTGATGACTCATTCCAGAGCAGATATTTATATGTAACATTAAGCTCATCGGAGTAAAGCATGTGACTCCTCAGTGATGTGTTGAATGGCGTATGTTAGAGAGGTTTATACCTGGTAATAACTATAAATGATCACTACATTTTAGGAGGTTACTGGAGATTGCTACTTTATCTTGCTAGTGCTAGTGGTAAAATCAATTATGTAGCTGACAGATAACACAAATCATTTTAGCCACTGCTTTTACTGCCTGTGTGCACTGACTTCCTTACGGCCTGTGTGTACTAACCGTATGGGTGTGTCCTGTAGGAGGGATCGGGCCAGAGGACCACCCTGATCGGGTGAGAGGGAGCTTCACAGATGGCTTCCTACACACAGACAAACACCTGCTGACTGCAGCCCGCCGTGAGGGCTGGGAGCGGGGTGGCACCACCGTGACCTCCACTCTCATCTCACCACGATATTTCTACTTCGCCAACTGTGGAGACTCGCGTGCCATGCTGTGCCGGGCAGGACAGGTGTGCTTCTCCACTGAGGACCACAAGCCCTACAGCCCTCTGGAGAGGGAGCGAATCGAGAGCGCTGGCGGCTCAGTGTCCCTACAACGCATCAACGGCTCCCTGGCTGTGTCCCGCGCCCTGGGAGACTTCAGCTACAAGGGGGCAGAGAACCGGCCGCCCACCCAGCAGATGGTGTCTCCGGAGCCAGAGGTGTGTGTGGTGGAGCGGTCACCCGGGGATGAGTTCCTGGTGCTGGCCTGTGACGGGGTGTGGGACACGGTCTCCAACGAGGAGCTGTGTGCCTTCATCCACAGCCGTCTGCGAGTCTGCACTGACCTCAGGGACGTCTGCTCCCAGGTCATTGACCTCTGCCTCTATAAGGTCAGTACCCAAAGTCACCTGTAGATCAGTACATGTGGACCACATCAGTGCTGTGTTAAAACAGTCCCTTCATGTTCATGTACAGCATAAGTGACAGTTCGCTGTCAACATGTGGATGTACTATTCTCAATGTAGACAGGCCAAAATGTTCTGATCTGATGAGCCACACAGACTGAACATTAGTTAATAAAACGTGATATTATTTTGGCAGAGGCTTTATTTTCCATTACATAATAATAATCCCATGAAATAAGATTATTGAGGATATACCAGCACTCAAAGAGTACCTTCTGACCTTCCCAAGGCTTAGACAGACCACTGGGACATGAGAATGTATAGCGCCACAATACCTTTACAAACACATACCCACTAGCACACACCTATTGAACACATACTCTGTGAGCTGAGCTGGGCTGGCTTTGACTACCATATCCTCACCTTAGTATGGCTTGGTGGTTATATAACAGTGTTCCAGCTTAGAGATTCTGCTCAACGACCTGAAAATGTCACAGTTTCTAACTCTCTCACACACTTCATCATCATTGTCAATGGGACAGTCAGTTCAGTTGTGCATGAAGGAGGAAGTAGGCTATTCATGTTCCTGAAGGGAGACAAAGTACTTTAGCTTTGCTGTGTGGAGGGTCAGTGTTAGACAAAGGATAAGGTTGCCCACAGCATTTGTACATCAGACTCTGCTTTTATTAGCCCACCCAGGTCACATCAGGATTGGACGAGAGGAAGGGGTTCGAGGGGATTATTTAAGATACTCTTTGAAGAGGTAAGGTTTCAGATGTTTTCGGGAAGATGAGCAGGGACTCTGCTGTCCTAGCTTCAGGGGGAAGCTGGTTCTGGGCCAAGAGACCACAGGTGGCAGAACGGAGTACTTGGGTTGGGGTGTAGGGTTTGAGCATAGCCTGAAGGTAGGGAGGGGCAGTTGCTTTTGCTGCTTCGTAGGTAAGCACCATGGTCTTGTAGTGGATGCAAGTTTTGACTGGAAGCCAGTGGAGTGTGCGGAGGAGAGGGGTGACATGGGAGAATTTGGGAAGGTTGAACACCAGGTGGGCTGCAGCATTCTGGATACGTTTCAGGGGTTTGATGGCACAAGCGGGGAGCCCAGCCAACAGCGAGTTGCAGTAGTACAGACAGGAGATGACAACTGCCTGTATTAGGACCTGCGCGGCTTCCTGTGTGAGGTAGGGTCGTACTCTACGGATGTTGTAGAGCAGGAACCTGCAAGCGCGAGTCACTGCTTTGATGTTTACAGAGAACGACAGGGTGTTGTCCTGTGGGAGGGGGACATTCGAGTTCTCAACCGTGATGGAGAGGTCTTGGAGTGGGCAGACTTTCCCTGGGAGGAAAAGCAGCTCCGTCTTGTCCAGGTTGAACTTGAGGTGGTGGGCCGACATCCAAGCTGAGATACACTATATATACAAAAGTATGTGGACACCCCTTCAAATTAGTGGATTCGGCTATTTCAGCCACACCCGTTGCTGACAGGTGTATAAAATCGAGCACACAGCCATGCAACCCCCATAGACAAACATTGGCTGTAGAATGGCCTTACTGAAGAGCTCAGTGACTTTCAACGTGGCACCATCATAGGATGCCACCTTTCCAACAAGTCAGTTCGTCAAATTTCTGCCCTGCTAGAGCTGCTCCGGTCAACTGTAAGTGCCGTTATTGTGAAGTGGAAACGTCTAGGAGCAACAACGGCTCAGCCGCGAAGTGGTAGCTCACAGAACGGGACCGCCGAGTGTTGAAGCACATAGCGCGTAAAAATAATCTGTTCTCGGTTGCAACATTCACTACAGAGTCCAAACCACCTCTGGAAGCAACGTCAGCACAAGAACTGTTAGTCTGGAGCTTCATGAAATGGGTTTCCATGGCCGAGCAGCCGCACACAAGCCTAAGATCACCATGCGCAATGCCAAGAATCAGCTGGAGTGGTGTAAAGCTCACCGCCATTGGATTCTGGAGCAGTGGAAACGCGTTCTCTGGAGTGATTAATCACGAATCACCATCTGGCAGTCCTACGGATGAATTTTGGTTTGGCAGATGCCAGTAGAACATTACCTTCCCTAATGCATAGTGCCAACTGTAAAGTTGGTGGAGCAGAAATAATGGTCTGGGGCTGTTTTTAATGGTTCGGGCTAGGCCCCTTAGTTCCAGTGAAGGGAAATCTTAACGCTACAGCATACAATGACATTCTACACGATTCTGTGCTTCCAACTATGCTTCCAACTATGAGCCAGGCCTAATCGCCCAACATCAGTGCCCGACCTCACTAATGCTCTTGTGGCTGAATGGAAGTCCCCGCAGCAATGTTCCAACATCTAGTGGAAAGCCTTCCCAAAAGAGTGGAGGCAGCAACTCCATATTAATGCCCATGACTTTGGAATGAGATGTTCGATGAGCAGGTGTCCACATACTTTTGGTCATGTAGTGTATCTACCAGGCACGCAGAGATGCATAGCAACGATAGGAGAGACCATGTGAGGCTATGACGGAACCAAGTGACTTGGAGTATAGAGGAGAGGGCCTAGAACTGAGCCCTGGGGGACAACAGTATTGAAAGTACGTGGTGAAGACACAGATCCTCTCCACGTCACCTGATAGGAGCGGCCTGCCAGGTAGGATGCAATCCAAGAGTGTGCAGAGCCTGAGACACCCAGCCCTGAGAGGGTGGAGAGGAGGATCTGATGGTTCACGGTGTCAAAGGCAGCAGATAGATCTAGGAGGATGAAGACAAAGGAGAGAGAGTCAGCTTTGGCAGTGAGGAGAGCCTCCGTGACACAGAGAAGGGCAGTCTCGGTTGAGTGACCCGTCTTGAAGACTGACTGGTTAGGGTCAAGAAGATTGTTCTGAGAGAAATAGCAAGAGGAGTTGGTCAGAGACAGCACGCTCAAGAGTTTTGGAAATAAAAGAAAGGGATACCGGTCTGTAATTTTTGGCGTCAGATGGGTTGAGTGTTGGTTTCATGAGGGGAGCGACTCTGGCCATTTTAAAGTCAGAGGGGACGCAGCCAGTGGTCAGAGATGAGTTGATGAGGGAAGGGAGGAATGGGAGGTCTCCAGAGTTGGTCTGGAGAAGGGGATGGAGTCAAGAGGGCAGGTTGTCAGGCAGCCGGACCACACTAATCGCAGGATTTCATCTGAAGAGAGAGGGGAGAAAGAGGTCAAGGTGTAGGGTATTGCTGTGTGAGTGGGACCTGTGGACTCAATAGGCTGAGTGAATGAGGAGCGGATGTCATCAACCTTCTTTTCAAAGTGTTTGACAAAGTCATCCGCAGAGATGGAGGGGAGGATTAATATTTTACTGAAATCAGGGTCACAGAGAGTGATTCTTGGTAGTCTTTAACACATTTACTTTGAAACAAAAGTATACACCTCACACATATGGTTATGAAAAAATAAATAATAATAAGACATGTACCATGTCAGATAGTGTTGAAATTTATTCCATTTGAGTTTGCATTCCAACATTACACTTGATATACACATCACAGAATATAACAAGACTGTTTGACATAAACACCTGATTTTCTGCAGGTTTTTGAAATAATCTTTATTAAAAATATTAATAACATTCCACCCATGAGGCCAAAGAGGGCAGTTTTGGTCATTGACTGCAGGAAAGGGCTACAGAGGGAGGAGAAGGTCGAAAAGAGTCAGAAGCTTGAAATTTACAGTGATGGAAAGTGGCTTTAGCAGCAGATACAGAGGAAGAGAAGGAAGAGAGGAGGGAGTGAAAGGATGATAGTTTAGTTTTCCTAAATTTTCCCGTCAGCTGCCCGCAGTCCTGTTCTGTATGCTCGCAATGAGTCACAGCCACGGAGCAGGAGGGGAGGGCCAAGCCGGCCGGGAGTAAAGGGGACAGTGCAAGTCATTGGATGCGGAAATGGAGGTGAGTTGGGTTGAAGAGGCAGAATCAGGAGACAGAAGGATTTAGCAGAAGGGAGAGATGAGACGATAGAAGAGAGCAAAGATTGCGACAGCGCATGACCATCTGGGTAAGGGCTGAGTGGCTAGGGTTGAAGGAGGGAGACAGAAAAATAAACAAAGTAGCGATCAGAGACCTGGAGGGGGGTTGCAATGAAATTAGTAGGCGAACAGCCTCTAGTAAAGATGAGGTCAAGCGAATTGCCTGACTTGTGAGTGGGAGGAGGCTGGGAACGGGTGAGGTCAAAAGAGGCAAGGAGGGGAAGAAAGAGTTAGAAAGAAATGAATCGACGTTGGGAGGTTGAAGTCACCAAGTACGAAGAGCGGTGAGCCATCGTCAGGAAATAATCTTATCAAGGTGTCAAGCTCACTGAGGAACTCTAAGGGGACCTGGTGGGTGATGGATGACAACAATGTTAAGCTTGAGTGGACAAGTGACAGTGACAGCATGGAATTCAAATGAGGAGATGGACAGGTGAGTGAGGGAGAAAATAAAAATCTCCATTTAGGAGAAATGTGTAGCCCTGTGCCACCACCGCGACGACCAGATGCTCTCAGACTGTGAGAGAAAACGTAGTCAGATGAAGAGAGAGCAGAAGTGTTCTCTGGGGGGATCCATGTCTCCGTCAGGGCCAAAAAGTCAAGGGACTGAAGGGCAGCATAGGCTGAGATGAACTCAGGGTTCTTGACCGCAGATCGGCAGTTCCAATAGCTGCCAGAGACCAGGAATTCCACATCGGTTGTGCACGCAGGGTACACTAAATTAGAAGGGTTGCAGCCAAGGGGTGGGGAGCGTCTGTAAAGCCTATAGGGAGAGGAGCGAACAGGTATAGAAAACACACACATAGTTGACAAAGCTACAAAAGAGCAACATTAGATAATCTGAAAATAACTAGGTAAGATACTCAAGTAAGAGAGTGGTGTGGAGCCTTCCTCTCTTTCACTGGCTTTGTTTCGGCGGCAGTCTTAGTTTTGCGACGAGAAAACATGGGAGACTGAAGCACTAGCACTAATTGCTAATTGCCTTGCAGAGGTGAAGAGCACACCTCCTGGTACTAATTGCTGATTGCCTATGAGAGGGGAAACCCCTCCCCCTTCAATACAGCCACTGATTACGAAGACAACAACAGTCGCAAATTGCCCTGCCCCTTAATCCTGGTTGATGTGTCAACAATCATCTGCAAATGAATAGCAGTCAGCAGTTCATACACCAAGTAGGACAGTCAGCACTCTATCAGTTGAGAGTGGGGTGACTTCTAGGACAAAGGGGGCCTAATCTTGTAAGGATCAGACAAACACAGAAGAGAAGTGGTCGTAATTGGAGGTCAAAGGTCACTATTTAGCGCCTGACCTCAGGGTAGGCAGCTGTTGTAATCCTGCTAGTAGCCTTCCAGTAAGCCTTGTTTGGCACTCACCTGATTTGGCACTATACAAACAACAATATCTACAGCGCAAGACATTTTCCCCATTATCATAATGGTGGGAAAGATTATCCTATCTCGCACACTGTTCAGAGGGCAGCATACATCACTAAGATTAGCTAACAACAGTCAACCCTCTTTAGAAACGTCAGATGTACTTATGTCAGGTCTGTACTTATGTCAGGTCTGTACTGTATCCTAACATGAGGTAATCTCTGTGTACTGTGACTGTACTAACCTTGGTTGGCTTGTTCTCCTCTGCAGGGCAGTCTGGACAATATCAGCATCATCTTGGTCTGCTTCCCTGGCGCCCCCCAGCTCTCAGCAGAGGCACTACACAAGGAGGCAGCGCTTGAAGACCTGCTGGAGTCTAAAGTGGCAGGTGCAGTATTGTGGGGATACTTATATTCACCCACTTCAGTTTATTCAATTAACCCCAAATCAGTTTACAACTAGATTTACACTACTATAGTTGGGTCATTCCACAAATTAAGTACCTTTTGAGTAGTGTAACTTGGTGAAAAAACACCAACATTCTGTCATAAAGAGCACATGTTCAACTTAATAAAAAATGAGTTTTCCCATCTCAAGAGGTTAAATAAAAATAAATACTATAGTAGGTGCCTATTAAGTGCCAAACAAAGTAACAGGGTTGACCGTAACAGGGTTGACGACTTCTTCTTACAGTGGCTTGCAAAAGTATTCACCCCTCTTGGCATTTTTTCTATTTTGTTGCCTTACAACCTGGAATTAAAATGGATTTTTGGGGGGGTTTGTATCATTTGATTTACACAACATGCCAACCACTTTGAAAATGTAAAATATTTTTTATTGTGAAACAAATAAAAAAACTGAAAACTTGAGCGTGCATAACTATTCACCCCCCCAAAGTCAATACTTTGTAGAGCCACCTTTTACAGCAATAACAGCTGCAAGTCTCTTGGGGTTTGTCTCTATAAGCTTGGCACATCTAGCCACTGGGATTTTTTCCCATTCTTCAAGGCAAAACTGCTCCAGCTCCTTCAAGTTGGATGGGTTCCGCTGGTGTACAGCAATCTTTAAGTCATACCACAGATTCTCAATTGGATTGAGGTCTGGGCTTTGACTAGGCCATTCCAAGACATTTAAATGGTTCCCCTTAAACCACTCAAGTGTTGCTTTAGCAGTATGCTTAGGGTCATTGTCCTGCTGGAAGGTGAACCTCCATCCCAGTCTCAAATCTCTGGAAGACTGAAACAGGCTTCCCTCAAGAATTTCCCTGTATTTAGCGCAATCCATCATTCCTTCAATTCTGACCAGTTTCCCAGTCCCTGCCGATGAAAAACATCCCCACAGCATGATGCTGCCACCACCATGCTTCACTGTGGGGATGGTGTTCTCGGGGTGATGAGAGGCGTTAGGTTTCGGCCAGACATAGAGTTTTCCTTGATGGCCAAAAAGCTCAATTGTAGTCTTATCTGACCATAGTACCTTCTTCCATATGTTTGGGGAGTCTCCCACATGCCTTTTTGTCGAACACCATACGTGTTTGCTTATTTTTTTCTTTAAGCAATGGCTTTTTTCTGGCCACTCTTCTGTAAAGCCCAGCTCTGTGGAGTGTACGGCTTAAAGTGGTCTTATGGCCAGATACTCCAATCTCTGCTGTGGAGCTTTACAGCTCCTTCAGTGTTATCTTTGGTCTATTTGTTGCCTCTCTGATTAATTCCCTCCTTGCCTGGTCCATGAGTTTTGGTGGGCGGCCCTCTCTTGGTAGGTTTGTTGTGGTGCCATATTCTTTCCATTTTTTTATAATGGATTTAATGGTGCTCCGTGGGCAAAGTTTCAGATATTTTTTTATAACCCAACCCTGATCTGTACTTCTCCACAACTTTGTCCCTGACCTGTTTGGAGAGCTCCTTGGTCTTCATGGTGCCGCTTGCTTGGTGGTGCCCCTTGCTTAGTGGTGTTGCAGACTCTGGGGCCTTTCAGAACAGGTGTATATAAACTGAGATCATGTGACAAATCATGTGACACTTATATTGCACACAGGTGGACTTTATTTTACTAATTATGTGACTTCTGAAGGTAACTGGTTGCACCAGATCTTATTTAGAGGCTTCATAGCAAAGAGGGTGAATACATGGGGCGGCAGGTAGCTTAGTGGGTAAGAGCGTTGTGCCAGTAACCGAAAGGTCGCTGGTTCTAATCCCCGAGCCGACTAGGTGAAAAATCTGTCGATGTGCCCTTAAGCAAGGCACTTAACCCTAATTGCTCCTGTAAGTCGCTCTGGATAAGAGCGTCTGCTAAATGACTAAAATGTAAATGTACATATGCACGCACCAATTTTCCGTTATTTATTTTTTTAAAACAAGTAATTTTTTTCATTTCACTTCACCTATTTTGTATATGTCTATTACATGAAATCCAAATAAAAATCCATTTAAATTACAGGTTGTAATGCAACAAAATAGGAAAAACGCCAAGGGTGTGAATACTTTTGCAAGGCACTGTAAATCAGCCATAAATCCCCTTGTTGTGTGCAACAAGGAGGAGCAATTGAATGCAAGCTTCACCCCAAAACAGTTCTGTAAAAAAATGTCTAGCCTGTCTGTTCATGGTTAATAGGGTTGACGTGTTATGCTGAACCCGCTCAGTTTTCCACCACAAAACACTAGAAAATTGCCAAAAAGAGTAGAACCAGCTCACCTGCTTTTACACTATGATTTGACTATTAGGTGTTCAATACTTTTTTAGAAAAAAATATTGAAAAATGAATAGTTTCACCATATTAAAACGAGAGTTCAGTTCACGTAACAGTGTTGACAAAATGCAACAAAATAACTAGGGCTTTACAATGATGGTGAAAACTTGGAGAAATGTTGGGGTTAAGTGGGTTAAAATAGTCCTATAAGTCACAGAGGATGCTTAAAGGGACATGTAAAAATGCTGAATTTTGGCACTTTAGCAAGTCTTTATTCATGTAAAAAAAAATCTGATTTATTGAATTGTCCATGCGGTATATATTAAAGGGCACTTGATTTAATATAACAGGCCTTTAAAATTCAATATCTGTGCACAATTTCTACTTAAAATATCAAAGGGACGCAAAAGGCACTTACTTTGTGGAATGACCGAGTTCATTGGCACAAGGAGGGCAGGTGCACTATTGTCAAGTACACTAAATGTATCATTTTAATAATTGTTTTTCTTGTAACTACTCCTCTCTTCCCTTTTGATAGAGATTTATGAGGAGCTGAGTTCCCAGGGGGAGGATCCGGATCTGCTGTCTGTCCTCACTGTTCTGGCAAACACTGATGTCCCAGGCTTACCACCTGGAGGCGGTCTGCAGAGCAAGTAAGTGAATCTGAGTGCATTGTGCCAAAAGTTCATTACAGTGCAATAGGTACTAAATAACAAAGTGCAGTAAGGATCATCTGAGTAGAGAGACACTGCTTGTCCTCAAACCTGTTTCCTGTGTGTTGCAGAAGGAACTGTATCATCTCTGCCTATTACGAAAAGAAAGAGGCACACAATCCTACTACACCTAATGTAAGTGTTTGTATTTATATCAAACTGTCTCAGTTACTACAGTACCAGTCCAAAGTTTGGACACACCTACTCATTCAAGGTTTTTTTTTATATTTTTACTATGTTCTACATTGTAGAATAATAGTGAAGACATCAAAACTATGAAATAACACATATGGAATCATGCAGTAACCAAAAAGTGTTAAACAAATCAAAATATATGTTATATTTGAGATTCTTCAAAGTAGCCACCCTTTGCCTTGATGACAGCTTTTCACACTCTTGGCATTCTCTCAACCAGCTTCATGAGGTAGTCACCTGGAATGCATTTAAATTAACAGGTGTGCCTTGTTAAAAGTTAATTTGTGGAATTTCTTTCCTTCTTATTGCGTTTGAGCCAATCAGTTGTGTTGTGACAAAGTAGGGATGGTATACAGAAGATGGCCCTATTTGGCAAAATACCAAGTCCATATTATGGCAAGAACAACTCAAATAAGCAAAGAGAAACGACAGTCCATCATTACTTTAAGACATAAAGGTCAGTCACTTTCAACGTTTCTTCAAGTGCAGTCGCAAAAACCATCAAGCGCTATGATGAAACTGGCTCTCATGGACCGCCACAGGAAAGGAAGACCCAGAGTTACCTCTGCTGCAGGGGATAAGTTCATTAGAGTTAACTGCACCTCAGATTGCAGCCCAAATAAATGCTTCACAAAGTTCAAGTGACAGACACATCTCAACATCAACTGTTCAGAGGAGACTGCATGAATCAGGCCTTCATGGTCTGATTGAAGCATGGAGGAGGAGGTGTGATGGTGTGGGGGTGCTTTGCTGGTGACACTGTCAGTGATTTATTTAGAATTCAAGGCACACTTAACCAGCATGGCTACCACAGCATTCTGCAGCGATACGCCATCCCATCTGGTTTGCACTTAGTGGGACTGTCATTTGTTTTTCAACAGGACAATGACCCAAAACACACCTCCAGGCTGTGTAAGGGCTATTTGACCAAGCAGTGTGATGGAGTGCTGCATCAGATGACCTGGCCTCCACAATCCCCTGACCTCAACCCAATTGAGATGGTTTGGGATGAGTTGGACCACAGAGTGAAGGAAAAGCAGCCAACAAGTGCTCAGCATATGTGGGAACTCCTTCAAGACTGTTGGAAAAGCATTCCTCGTGAAGCTGGTTGAGAGAATGGCAAGAGTGTGCAAAGCTGTCATCAAGGCAAAGGGTGGCTACTTTGAAGAATCTCAAATATAACATATATTTTTATTTGTTTAACACTTTTTTGCTTACTACATGATTCCATATGTGTTATTTCATAGTTTTGATGTCTTCACTATTATTCTACAATGCAAAAAATAGTCAAAATAAAGAAAAACCCTTGAATGAGTAAGTGTGTCCAAACTTTTGACTGGTACTGTATACCAATACTACATCATCTCTGAGCTGGTCAGTATTTTAGCACAATCACTTAACAGCAGTCCACATTTTTCTCCAGGGGCTTGGTGGTTCTGAGAAGCTTGTCTAGGCTCTGTCGTCTGGGAACGTCTCAGGAAGACAACCAATTACAAAATTAAAAACTGTTTTCATTATGTGGCAATTCAATCAATCACAAAAGGGGAACTGAGGAAGGAATTTTGTCTCATCCGTCCTGCCAAGCAACATCCTGATGTGACAAGTAAAATGCAAATTGTGAACTATAGATTTTATATTTCTACAATATAGGGAACATTTTATTTTATAGGACCTGACACTTTTAAACTCAGAGATTCTGGCTCAGTAATATGATCCAGTAGTTGACAAACCATCTAACATATATTTATCCCATATGGATAACAATGTCAAATTCTAATAGTTTATTCTTTAAAAATGGAATTCAATGAGGTAAAATTAAGACCAGTACTCTTTGCACAACTTCTATAGGTATGGATTTCAGGTTGATGTTTAGTGTTGAGTCATCAAACCTCTCTCTCTCTCTCTCAGTCCTGTGTTTGGTCTGGTTTGCATGACCTGTACTGTGCTGCCTTACTGACCTTGATGACAGTAGATTTAATAACATGTTACAGTGATATGACCAAGACAAACCCAAGAATGGTCAGTAGATTGATGAACGTGTTAATGTATTATCATATGTGATTTAAATTAGTATGTACTTTACTTACATACTGTTTAGTGTGTATAGACACTACATGTTAAAAGTCATGACTGTTTTCAGACTAAATAAAGATTATTTGACTGACTAAGAAATTGCTGAGTGGATATTCAACTACGTAATTATAATGACAAATATTTGTATAGTTAACGTGATTAACTGACATGCAAGACCATTAAAGGTTTTACAGTGTTTTAAATTATTACTGCCGGATGGTAAATCACAGACAACGAAGATACTTAATTTCATTTATGTCCACCAGGAGGAGTTGTCTCTAAATAAAATACTAGTGTTCAGCCCACTTTCTTTTTTAACTTTCCTGTTTAAAATGGTGCTATGAAACACCTTGGTGAGGATAACATTGTACATGATGTTCATGTTGTAAAGAGATAAGTATGGATGATCAAGGTGATGCTTGAGGGAAATGTCTGCATAGGTGTGGGGGACCTGACCAGTTAGGTACTGTTCAAATGAATACAGAAAATTGGCAAACTGTAAGTAACTCCAGGCTATTGTGGATGAGATAGTCACACTCTGACACAATTTATTGACATAAATACCTTTCCCAGGGCTATGTTTGATTAAATGTGCTTTATTTAAATATCCTATTTGTCAGAGTTATCTTGATGATTGCATTGTATTTTAATATGACCTCCATCTCAGACATCAGAAGATGAAGAGGTTTTGTCTTCCTTTTACAGCTCTCATACTGTGTGTCTGAGGGCTTTCTATCTAATTAATGCAACACAATTGAACTGTGATACATATTCAACAGGTTCTCTAGCAGAGCCCTAGACATTAGGTGACTGAGGATGCAAATACAGAATATGGGTAAATGTCTATGTTCACTGATGCCACCCCATGCAAATCCATTGTGTTGTGGAGGAGCTCAGGACACATCTGAAAGGCTCTCATAAATCAGTGGGTCTCCTCGAGACCCCCTCCACATCTCCACACTCCACACAAAGCCTGATTGCGTTCAGCATTGCGTTCCAGCCAATCACTTGAGCATCTCAAACCCTCTCCAGACATATGCTGTTTAAACGAAAGGTGTCTGTCCACCGCTTCTCCCCACAGAACCAAACAGGAACATTCTGTCTTAATAGGAGATCAGTGATCGTCATGAATGTCTGGCATTCTGAGAAGCTGTCAGACAGAGCAGAGGTATGTTGTGGGCTATAATCATGTCTAGAACTAGAAACCTAGCTAACCTCAAATGATTTACATTGAAAACTAATTTGGCAAATATGTATGGCCAGCAGTAGCATCCAACTGTTCTGTTTCACAACTGTTTGCTCTACAAGAAATGCTCATTCTGAGGATGAAACGTCGCTAGTTTTGTTAGACATAACAGGAGAAGATCCAGCATCCAGTCTACCTCCAGTAACATTCCAATAACCCCAAAAAAACAGTGCTTTATTTCTGAGTTGGTGTGACGGGTATGGTTGGGGACAGGTGGGACTATCTGTCCACACTGGTCTCCTGCAGGCGGTTGTTCATGATGGCGAATGCACCCACCCCCCCAGAGAAGCCATTGTGGCGAGGAACGTGGCTCTGCCTGGGGCCCTGCTGGGCCGTCTCACACAGCTGCTTCTGCAGCAGTGCCAGAGAAACCTTATTGGACGCTGTGAAGTCATTCACCGAGATCATCTCCCCAGAGAGACGCCGGCCCCCAGCGACCCCGTCCATCCCCACTCCAGCGTCCGTCTCGCTGTCACACACTGTCTCCACCGAGGCGTCTGTGTAGCGATGTCGCCCTGTGGGGACTTGGGACGGGGTGGGCTGCACGGCGTTGCTTTTGAAGCGCTGCTGGCGGAGTCGTGCGGGTGGAGGCCTCAAGCCGGAGTGTTTGTTATGGAGGCAGGGGCAGCAGACCCGTCTGCGGAGGCCTCTCTTAGGGCACGAGCAGGGACAGCGCCGGCCTGGACAAGCCAGCCGGGCCAGGATCCAGTTGAGAGTCTGTTTGATGATGATGGAGATGACGTTGAAGAGCGAGTAGATGCAGCACACGCCCATGAGGATGAAGAGGCAGTTGCCCAAGCGATAGGCTTCCTGGGCCTCATAGCGCTCCCTCTGGCTGCTCACCAGGTCCCCGAAGCCAATGGTGCTGAAGGCCACGAAGCAGAAGTACAGGGAGTCCATGTAGCTCCAGTCCTCCATGGAGCAGTACAGAGAGGAGGCACTGCAGGCGATCAGCACAGACGACACTCCAAGGATCAGCATCACGTAGTAGACTGAGGGCTTCCAGCCCTCCAGACTGTCCTCCTCACTGCGGGGCTCCTCGGCCCCTGACACAGCCCCCAACCCCGAGCGCCTCATCCTCCGCTCGTGGCACCAGCGCATGATATAGGCCAGCATGGTGATGATCCTCTCCAGGAAGAGGTTGAAGAAGAGGATGGTGGCGGCACAGCCGATGAGGCCGTAGAAGATCAGGAATATCTTACCAGGGATGGTAGCTGGGGTGTTCATACCAAAGCCTGGTGAGAAGGAGTACAAAAGAGAAGGGTCAATGTGCAAATTCTTTGTCAATTAAGTGCCCCTACAGTTGTTCTTAATTAGCACTACATGTCAAGATGACAAAAGACGTGGAGAGGCTTTTGATATTATCATTTTGGCATCATGCCATGAATGTAGTTGATATTAGAGTAAGGGATAATCATTTCACAGTACTGGGTACTTCCAAATTATGTTAACATAAACTAAAAAATAAGGGAGACTGAATGAGTCATGAAGACAGGAGCTGAGGGAGAGAAGGGATGAGATGCAATCCTGCTGCCTGTTAAAAATGGGGGCCTTGTTCAGTCATGAGTAGTCCTTGTAAAGCAAATCGACCTCACATGCCAACATTTAATTGAAATGAAACTAATATGACAATAGTGCCTCGGAGTCTAACTGATCATCCATCTAATCCCCTTAGCTTCCTCTCCTCTCTCTTGACATCCCCATCATCTACTCAATAAATCCTCTACATTATACTGTGCATCTGTTGAGACAGTTGTGTTCAAATGTTTGCATCTACATGACAACAAAGAACTGCATCTAAAATACCTGACTCTGACCCCCAAAGAGAGCAGCTGTCCAACTCACCGATGGTGGACACCACCGTGCCGACAAAGTAGAAGGCTCCAGAGAAGTCCCAGCGGGGCCTAAGAGCATCCACTCTGATCCCGGCCCCGTTGGCCTCTTCATACTGGCGCAGCAGCGCGTGCAGGGCTCCCAGGCTCACCCGGTGGCTCAGGGTGAAGTTGGCCAGCTGCTGGTCCCAGAGGAGTCGGGCGCGGAGCTCGGAGGGGCGCTCTAGGGCGGAGAACACAGCTGCCCCACACAGCAGATAGAGCAGGATAAGCCCTGCCAGCAGGCAGAAGCGGGCGTTGTCCTCGTTGAGGGGCGGCCGGGGGCAGCAGCCACCACCCCGTTTACGAGCCATGAGTGCAGCTGGCCCGGCACAGATACACGCACCACCGCACTAACATACACTGCCTGTCTGAGCCTGCCTTATTAACACCACTCAGATCACTCACTACACATACATTACACACACCAAACTACCACACACACACAAATACACACACACAAATACACACACACAACACGCTTAACAAACCCTAATATGCTAAAGAAAACTGGTTATCCACACAGAGAACCAACACACACAGCTGGCCCCCAAGGCCAGAGAACATTGATGGTTGGTCCATCCAGAGCTCTCTCAATGTGGTGTAATGTCCTGAGTGGTCATTCACGTCCCTTATGAGTTCTGAATCTGATTAACAGTTTCACAGATTGCCAGCTGTGTGATGATGTGCCCACTGATAGAAGAGGACTCCTGACTGTTTGGTCACTGTGTGTGACTCTGGAATCCTGCACTGGTCTGTGAACAAGATATCGGTACCAGTCAGCAATTCATTTGGTATTGGCATTGTTTTCAATCAACAAGTAGAAATAGTTTTTCCATCTTTTCTCAAAATGTGTATATTAATTTACTGACATCTGTCGTGTAAAGTAAAACCATCATGAATCACTAGAGCTCTTTACTTTGCCTGAAAATCCAAAACATTGCAAAAGCCTACACTTTTTTTTTAAGAACATGAAATGTTCATAAGGCTTTTCGATAATTCATATGACATATTATCTGAAATATAAAGAGAGACAAAACATACCTGATTTTATATATCTTGATTAATCCAATAATTCCACAATTTATTCAAACAGTTTTTGCCCATTGTCATGGTGAGACTTGATCCGCGGTTTGAGGTAGCCTACCTGCGCTGGGCACACATTTCCGAGGATCTGATGATCTGTGACCATGGAGATGGGGGAGGTGTGGAGAAGCAATCTAATCCGTGAATGTTGCCATCACACACTTAAATATATTCGTCGTTTAAGTGTGTGTGTGAGAGAGAAAAAGCGAGAGAGAGAGGCAGAGCGAGAGAGAGAGAGAGAGAGAGAGAGAGAGAGAGAGATCAGAGGGATAAAACCCATGTGTGCAAGCATACCTTGATTGGTGTAATAATCATTTCTTGATTTTAGAAGCTTTTCTATTCAGGTCCTCCAACCTGTAATCAACGTTCAATCTAACATTTCCTCCTCACTGGGCAGTGAGACTGATGGTCTTCGATATATTATTGATATGCAAATATCTAAACTGATTAAAACACTGGATCTGGACTGTAAACTGATTAAAACACAACAACTTCTTATTCAACAGCTCAATTCCTTTTTGAGAAAGTTTTGCATGGTATTTATCCATGCAACATCTGATTGCAAATGTGGCATTTGAAGTGGTTCACAGCTCATTGATGATATTCTTATCAGGCTTTACCTAGTGATTAACTAAGTCTATTTTTCAGACAACCAACATACAATTGATTTTCTCCTCTCTCCTTCGTTTCGGTACCAAATGCCTTAGGTACAAGTTGTGCCTCCTCTCTGTTGTAGGTTGTGTGGGAGGGATTGGCTTTGTTCTCTTTTGTGTTTGTCCGTCTGCCTTTAATCTTGGATGAGGGCTGAGGGGTACTAGAGGGGCATGGATTCATGCTAGGACACTGGAGCACTGAGTGTCCAGGTGCAGAAGAAAGAGGCCATGCATGAAAGAGTGACACCTGCAAAATACCCTTCAGCTGACACTTATTTTAGTGATTTCAGATCATATATCAATGTGTGTCTAGGCAAGCCTATTTTAAGAGCATATCATGTTTAGTGCTGTAGTCTTGTGTTCATAAGTTGCTCTATTTGCAACTATTCTTTTTCTGTCTTCAATTTTTCAGGCATCACTTACCACACTTATTATGCATTGTGTTATGCACAGAACAAAACATGCCAATGTCCCTAAATCACAACCCACTCCTTTTCTTTTGGCAAAAACCTGATGTATGAAGTCTAGGTCATATAAATGAAGACATGGTTTATCTTGTGTTCAATAATTTGCCTAAAAAGCATCAGAACAGTCTCCCTTTTAATCAGTGGTGTAAAGCGCTTAAAAATACTTTAAAGTACTACTTAAGTCGTTTTTTGGGGTAGCTGTACTTTACTATTTATATTCTTAAGAACTTTTACTCCACAACATTCCTAAAGAAAATAATGTACCTGACACCCAAAAGTACTCATTACATTTTGAATGCTTAGCAGGACAGGAAAATGGTCCAATTCATGCACTTATCAAGAGAACATCCCTGGTCAAATGCTTCGTTTGTAAATGATGTCTGAGTGTTATCCATAAATAAAATATAAATACAATTTAAAAAACAAGAAAATCATGCAGTCTGGTTTGCTTAATACAACGTTTTTAACGTGCACGTTTTGGTTTTTGCCCTATGTCACGATCGTCGTAATGAGTGGACCAAGGCGCAGCGTGAAATGCGTACATCTTTTAATGAGTACTTTAACACTACAACAAAACGATACGTGAAGTCCTAAGGTTAACAAAACACAAACCTCTCCGGAACAAGATCCCACAAATGACAAGTGCAAAACAGGCTGCCTAAGTATGGTTCCCAATCAGAGACAACAAGCCACAGCTGCCTCTGATTGGGAACCACCCCGGCCAACATAGAAACACACGATCTAGAAAAGAACACATAGAAAACAAAACATAGACACTACACATATAAACTAACACCCTGGCTCAACATATAAGAGTCCCCAGAACCAGGGCGTGACAGTACCCCCCCCCCCAAAGGCGCGGACTGCGACCGCGCCAACTAAACCCAACAGGGGAGGGGCCGGGTGGGCATTCCGCCTCGGAGGCGGATCCGGCTCCGGGCGTGACCACCACCCTCTAACTACCCCCCCGTAGCGCCCCTGGTCTGGTCTGGCCCCGCTGGCTGGAGCTGGACTGGACATCGGTGGAGCGGATTGCTTAGGCTCCGGTGTGGAGCAGCTGACCGGTACCTGACCAGGCACCGGTGAAACAGGCACGGGCTGTGCCGGACTGACGACGCGCACCACAGGCTTGGTGCGGGGAGCAGGGACGGGCCGGACCGGGCTGGCGACGCGCACCACTGGCTTGGTGCGGGGAGCAGGAACGGGCCGGACCGGGCTGACGACGCGCACCACTGGCTTGGTGCGGGGAGCAGGAACGGGCCGGACCGGGCTGACGACGCGCACCACAGGCTTGGTGCGGGGAGCAGGAACAGGCCGGGCCGGGCTGGCGACGCGCACCACAGGCTTGGTGCGGGGAGCAGGAACAGGCCGGGCCGGGCTGGCGACGCGCACCACAGGCTTGGTGCGAGGGGCAGGAACAGGCCGGGCCGGGCTGGCGACGCGCACCACAGGCTTGGTGCGGGGAGCAGGAACAGGCCGGGCCGGGCTGGCGACGCGCACCACAGGCTTGGTGCGAGGGGCAGGAACAGGCCGGGTCGGGCTGGCGACGCACACCACAGGCTTGGTGCGAGGGGCAGGAACAGGCCGGGCCGGGCTGGCGACGCGCACCACAGGCTTGGTGCGAGGGGCAGGAACAGGCCGGGTCGGGCTGGCGACGCGCACCACAGGCTTGGTGCGGGGAACAGGAACAGGCCGGACCGGGCTGTGGAGACGGACTGGAGGTCTGGAGCGAAGAGCTGACACAACCCGTCCTGGCTGAATGCCTATTTTTACACACTCTGTGTGAGGCATCAGCACAGGACGTACAGGGCTGTGTACTCGTACTGGCACTACAGCACGTGGCACTGGCACAGGATATCCGGGACCGAGGAGGGGTACTGGAGGCCACGAGCGTTGAGCCGGCACACTCCGTCCTGGCTGCATGCCCACCTTAGCACGACACATGCGTGGTGCTAGCACAGGACGTACAGGACTGTGCCGGACCACTCGCGGCACAGTACGCAGCTCCGCATACCTCGGAACCTGCCCAGTCTCACGCTGCCTAGCCTGAGTACGGGGAGTTGGCTCTGCTCTACCTCTAGGTTCCGCCAACCTCCCTTCCAGCCCCCCAAACCCGGTGGCCTCCTCTCCTAATCCACAAACTCGCCCTGTAGCTGCCTCCAGCAGCCCCGTCGTCCATGCCATGTGCCCCCCCAAAAAATGTATTGGGGTTGCCTCTTGCGTGTCCGACGTCGGCACGGTTGGCGCCGCTGCTCCTCTCTATGGCGCGCCTCCACCGTCTCCTCCCACGGACGGCGATCCATTCCGGCCTGGATTTCCTCCCAAGTCCAGGATCCCTGCCCATCCAAGATCTCCTCCCAAGTCCAGGCTGTCTGCTCCTGGACACGCTGCTTGGTCCTGTTATGGTGGGATCTTCTGTCACGATCGTCGTAATGAGTGGACCAAGGCGCAGCGTGAAATGCGTACATCTTTTAATGAGTACTTTAACACTACAACAAAACGATACGTGAAGTCCTAAGGTTAACAAAACACAAACCTCTCCGGAACAAGATCCCACAAATGACAAGTGCAAAACAGGCTGCCTAAGTATGGTTCCCAATCAGAGACAACAAGCCACAGCTGCCTCTGATTGGGAACCACCCCGGCCAACATAGAAACACACGATCTAGAAAAGAACACATAGAAAACAAAACATAGACACTACACATATAAACTAACACCCTGGCTCAACATATAAGAGTCCCCAGAGCCAGGGCGTGACACCCTAACACTACACAGATGATTAGAATTATCAAAGCTTAATGATTAGTTGATTATTTGAATCAGCTGTGTAGTGCTAGGGCAAAAACCAAAACGTGCATCCCTTGGGGCCCGAGGACCGAGTTTGGGAAACCTTAAGGAATTTAAAATGATTATACTTTTACTTTTGCTATATTTCAGCATTTACATTTACTTTTGAAACTTAAGTATATTTAAAACCAAATATTTTTCGACTTTTACTCAAGTAGTAATTTACTGAGTGACTTTCACTTTTACTTGAGTCATTTTCTATTAAAGTATCTTTACTTTTACTCAAGTATGACAATTGGGTACTTTTTCCACCACTGC